GATCAAACCCTGAAACAACCTCTAGGCTGATCTAAGTCAGGGCATGGCTAACTAACAGATAGAACCCTGAAACCACCTCTGGGCTGATCTAAGTCAGGGCATGGCTAACTCACAGGTCAAACCCTGAAACAACCTCTGGGCTGATCTAAGTCAGGGCATGGCTAATTTACAGATCGAAACGGATTTAGCTTGTTACTGTACATGTTTTGTGGAGCTATGGCAAACCTGATGAACCTGGAGAAAAACTCTTAAATCAAGGAAGAGATCTTATACAGAAACTTGTTTTGTGGTAATAAAGTAAAACAAGGAAAATTATTGAATAATGAAAATGTGTTTTAAGATGAAGTCCAAGAAGTGATATGAAAATAATTGATGTCGGGACTGCATTGTTCAGAAAAACTTTGAGATTGTTTCACGGTTTAAAAATTATCTCGGATGCAAGGTTAACAGGAAAATACGAAAGAAATGGCACAAACTCCATCCACGAAAAGTGCGATTTCTTTTGTAGTTTCGTGTTTGCTTCGCATCCAAGATAATTTTGACAGGGGTAGTCTTAGGTTAGACTTTGTATTAAGGTAACTTTATCTTGAGGCCAAAATTGGTGCAAATTAAACTAGCTTATTATATTGTATAACTCAATTTTATTCTATTTTCTCACAGATTAAATATTTTACGGGCTTTATAGGGGAAAAAAAAGCAGAAAAAGAAAAAGAAAGATTAAAAAAAAAAAAGATAGAAAATAGGGGAAAAAAAGGAACTGCAAGAGAATAAAAACAAAAACGTAAAAGAAAAAAGGAAAATAGAAACAAATACAAAAAATAAATAAAACAAGAATAGAGAAATTAAAATAAAAGTACAAAGAAAAAGAAATAAAAATAGGATTAAAACAAAAACGAAAATAGAATCTCTTTGAATTAAAAATAAGGTAGCATTTTTGAAATGTTTAAAAAAATATATGAAGTTTAAATAAATCCACTTGTATTCGGAAGATAAATAAAGCGGGCATCTTAAATATTTCAATATTAACACACCAAGGATTTAATTCGTAAAACAACTGTAGGGATTTGACGAACTACCTAAGAATTTTGACTTGATCTTAAAATGAGTAAGCCATTTCAGAAACGGGCAGTTTGCTATGAAGTAAGTTACGATACAACATTGAATAAAGAAAGTTAAAAAAGGAAGAGAGAAAGAGAGAAAAAAGAAAGGAAGAAAGAAAGAAAGAAAGAAAGGAAGAAAGTAGGAAATAAAGAAAGAAAGAAAGAATGATGATGATGATAATAATGATAATAATAAAAATAATAATGATAATAATAATAATAATAATAATAATAATAATCTAATACTAATTTTTTAATAATAATAATAATAATAATAATAATAATAACAATAATAATAATAACGCTCTTGGAGGATGGGCTAACGAGACGGAGCCTGAGATGAAGAATATGTTTGGAGCAAGATACAAAGATGTATTACTTAGAATGCAGAAAGC